GCTCTTAGGTTGGAGTCCATTGCTACTAGGTTGGAGGCCATCACTCTTAGGTTGAATTCCATTGCTACCATATTGGAGGCCATTGCTACTAGGTCGGAGGCCATTGCTACTAGCTTGGAGGCCATTGCTACTAGGTTGGAGGCCATCGCTCTTAGGTTGGAGTAGAGGCCATCACACTTAGGTTGGAGGCCATTGCAACAAGGTTGGAGGCCATTGCTACCAGGTCGGAGGCCATTGCTACTAGGTTGGAGGCCATTGCTACTAGGTTACTGGTCATTGCTTCAGATTATGACGGCTAAATGGAGGGTCTCTGGAGAAAGGGGGTCAGCAAAAATCGTTAGTGCATCAAGAAGGTTTCTGGGATTTTGTTGCAGTCAGTTCTCCTATACTGGTCCACCATTCCATGAAATGCCCCGGGTTCTACGAATAGCCGGCGCCTTCCACGATGTTAGTAGAATAGGTTTCTGCGAAACTCTTTCTGTGCCCTACCCTTCCGTTTGCCTCTGAAATTATATAGGTTGGAGGCCATTGCTAGTAGGTTGGAGGACATTGTTATGAAGCTTTTCGCATCCTCTTTTCCCACCTCATGTTCACATTCAGCTAGCATCCTCGATGCGGAGGCTGCGACCATTGCCTGGGCCTTGCAGAGATGAAACCCCCGTCGCGAAGCCGACACGTCAGCTGATCTCCCAGGCCACCACTCCCTTCGACTTGTCTTCTATTTGTTTTCTTTGCAGTTCACTTTGGTCTTTTGCAGGCTGTAACTGGCTGAACGGAGATCACTCAATGATCTGAAATGCTACGCACTATATCGTGTTGTACGCATCATTCAGATCCAGGTGCATCACTCCACTCGCAAAAAAGCTGTCAGTTCTGCAGTTCTGCATCCAACACATCCAAAGAAAATGTCTCTTTCAACATCTTCAGACCCAAGTGCAGGCGTACAAGTACCAGCAGTGTTTGGCCACTTCAACACTTTGGAGTTCCGCTTGACTTGTTGATTCTATGAATCACTCTTTTTCAGACTCTCACAAGCGGATCTTAATGGATCCTGTGTAGGGCCAACGCTTAAAAAACATAAATCTCAAAAATCCCATCCACCTCCGCTGGGATTTCCAGATCATCACCGTCTTGAAGGTATCTGTCGAGCAGCCACCTGATTCATCTCAAGACTCCGATCATCGAAATGGCTCCTCTTGTCAAACATGTGTGTGTGCACCGAACGAATAGGAAGAACAAGTTTTTAGGATGTCAGAATTTCTGTGTGCTCCAGATCAAGCAAAACGTCTCTCTCGAATCAAAGAGACTTTCCTCCATCCCCTGCAAAAACTCTTGCCGGCACAGACCTGCATGATGTCACCTCTCGACCAGCCAAGGCTTCTGATGGTTGACGCCAGTTACAGTTGGTTGCCCTGCCACTGTAGAAGGCCTCGACTGGGCCGGAAGACAAACATTCCAAAAGTTGAAACATGCCAAAACAAATATCATTGAATACCCATGTTGATCATTTTGTTTGATGAACTTGATTTGGATGATCTCCTGAAAGCTGAAAGAATACAGCCGTCCGCAGCTGTGGTTCTGCGTTTTGAGAATCCTGAATGATCCACCAAGTCCTAGCCACAAATGCCCCGATCTGCCTACAATGTTGGAAGGATCAGGCTCAGTAGAGGATGACAAAAAATGAAAGCCTCCCCACTCTCACAGTGCAAGCTGCAAAGTACTTTCAACTATCCAGGCCCTACCACCCCATGATTCCTGGGGAACTGCGCCAAGAGTCCTGAAAAGCTGCATCCAACGCGAGCAAGTGCTCCTCCGTGACTGTTGGAAGGCCGCTGTTCTCTTTGTGCCTCAGCTGGAAGTGTCTCCACACAGCAGCACGGTCTCTGGTCAGTTGTGACTGGAAATTAAAGGCAGGCATGTTGTTGCTACTTTTCTTCGAAAGAATCCTTGTAGGACATGCGGGACATTCAAAAGAACTTCTGTCTGGCAGGTCCGTCCCATGGAGATGCAAGACAGTTTTAAGAGTGCCAGCGTCTCTCTCTGCACCAGTTCCCATGGTGCTGAGGACCGCCAAAACATCCCAGATTGCGGATCCAAAGGACACATCTTCACTTCCCCGCGTTGAAGACTTAAAGTACCGCTGCTGGATCTTCCTATATCTTCCCTTTCTCTCTCAACGAGTGACCCTAAGTACTCTAGCTGCAGCAGTAGCAAGAATCCGCTGAACGCCTGGAATCGCAGCATGAGATGTCTTTCGCCACCCATGACCTGAACACAGGTGCCAAATCCTTTTCATTTGGTGCTTTCGCTTGTTGAGTTGTAAGACCGTATGCAGTATGCGCTCATCAATGTTGTCTACATATGCTGTCAAGCACTCACAACCTGCTGTCAAGCACTCGCACAAATCAGCTATGATCATGAGACGCAACCACACTTTTTGGGCTCATGTTGATGAGATCAGCAAGCAGCAACTGTGGCACTTTCACTACCTATTGGAATATTAACTGCACATAAAACTCCAATTGAATTGTGAGGGATGGTATGATTAATAAGTGATGAGTGCACTCCAATAAAAGCCACAGAGGCTGACAGCGCTTGCCCATGCAGCCAAACGAGTTCGGGCTTTGCGAGAAGGGTCTAGCATATCCGTCTCTGCGGAATGAAGAAACCAAAATAGCAAAGCTCATCGATTCATGCAATTGTCAGCTTCTTGAAAGCCGAAAAAATCATGAGTGTCTCCTTCATGAGAACCAAGAACCATGCAAGTTTCATTAATGGCCTCAGGCGATTGGAGGAACTGGCTGGATTCCCTTCGGTTACCTCTTGATCGAATCAGTTCCAAGAACACGGCAGCAGGATGCAAGGGGGCCACCGCAAAACATCTGAGAGAACACTTCCATTCCAAATGGATTGGCTGATCTCGGGACAGCCTCTGTCTTCTCGGACACTAAGGCGGCGTCGTTTTCATCCGTCTTTCTCCAATTCTTGACGTAGAGGCCCAAAGCCTCTTTCTGCTGATTGGTTTTCTTTGCTGCTTCCCGCTCGGAGGGCCGCATGCACGGGACTCCGGTCTCTTTGCATCTGGGGCACTTCTTCTCCAGCTTGGGCTTCTCGTCACATGGTATGTAGAACTTGCAGCTGGGGTGGTGATAGCTGTTGTCATGGGCATAGATCACTCTTCGATCTTCACCACAAAGCCAACAGAATTCGTGGCCACACTCACATGTGATATGATCACAAGAAGCAGGGTCTTCCTTTTCGCACGGATACTGGCAAGCCGGACATCTCTTGAAACCCATGGGCTTTAGCTGAATCTCGAATTCCGCCAAGTCCTTGAAGCCTTCCCAGGACTTGGACAAGGCCACTGAGGTAGCACACCTGTGGTCTGCATTCCACATGTTGTGACAACTGAGACACCTTGAAATCGAACAGGCACGGCAATAATAGGCAGTGTCCAGCGCAACGAGGCTTGCGGTGCTTTTGCATTCGGGGCACGGAGGAAGTGCCAGTGCCATGGCGCCTTTTTGCAGGATGATACCAAAAAAAGACTATACGGCGCGAGGCGCGAGAGACCCAAACTAACCGCAAACAACAGCAGAAATGATGCACAAAGGCCTTGTTGAGTAAGTCATTTCACAGCAACACAGCCAAATCATACATATATATATATACAGTGTATAATATATATAATACATATTACTATATTAATATATACACAGAAAATGCAACTACAACCAATTTGCGTGCGTCAGCGTTCAGCCCTAGAATGCTGAAAATCCAACTGGCCAACCAAACTCGTTTGGACAACTCTCACATTGGATGTTCTCCAGCGGCCTTCGCACAACATGCCCGGGCAAGGTTGCAGCACATGAGGAATCCTGGCCAAGTACATGAGGAATCCTGGCCATGAAGTTTGTGAGGAACCTCAGATGTCAATGTATTCTTCCAACAGTGAAGGTTCTGAAGGCATCTTGACCCTCTCCACCATAGTGAAGCACCTCCGCTTTCCTTGCCATTCTCCGACAGTGTGAGCTGCCTGCCACATCATAAGAACTTAGCTGCCTTGCATGTTGGAATGCAAGCGAGACTTGTTAAGTTTTCCTTAAAAAATCTAGGAACCACATGAATAGTGCGAGCGCTTCGTTAAGGAAGCTCCCCTCCGCCCTCAGGCGAGGGGAGCTTCCTTGAAGAAGCGTGAGCTATCCTGGGTCCTAGCTAATTAGGAGCTTCCTATTGCTAGTAGCTTGCCTCCTTACTTAATTAAGTAGGCGCCTACTTACATAAATAAGTAGGAGCGGGCAAAAAACATGCATCTTCTACGACACGGGGTGAGTAAAGGTCATCCACCCCGCGTCACCGCACCTGGCACGCCAAGTGCTCAGGAGAACCATCAATTCAATGAGTTCAGAAGCTCTCTGCACTGAAAGCTCTCCAGGTTGTCCTCCTGGGCAGAATAGTGTATCTCTTCGTGTGTTTCTACATTATATAGATGCATGAGATACTATCTATGATTCTCTTAGGTTTTGTGTTTCAGGATTAAAGCTAACTTGGACCCAGCATAATATACAACATGCGCAGTCTCTGGAACCTCTTTTCTGAACTTGAGAAAGCGCAGTGTCCTGGAACTTGGTTGTTGAATGCCTGCAGTTGTGCGACAAGGAGTGCACGTATCTAAGATATCAATGATACATCCAAAAAAATCTTCAAATCAAGCACAATCAAAATGGACATTGCCGCTCAGTGTTGCACACTGAACAAAATTCCAAGCGTGCCAAGCTGATGAAATTGGAGCTTGAATCTACTAGCTGCGCTTGTAAAACCTAGAACCTAGAAGCCTAGAACCAAACAAATGGCTCAGAACCTCGAGGACATGAACGGTGGATCGAAGAATATTGTTGGAGCAGCCTTGCAAGCGAGCCCAAACACAATTTGGCCAACTCATCTCTGAAATGAAACCCGGCAAAGTTCAAGTTTTCTGAGAGCATTGAGAGCATCATTCAACAAATGACGTCTGCATCCACTGAAGCTTGATGGCCTGTCTTGTCCAAGCTCCTTGCAGCTCAAGCAGTGGATATGGCTGTGGGTCAAGACAGATTTGGTATATAATTTGGTGCAATCTGCAATACATTGCAATAGTAGAGTAGCAATCCAAACTGAAGAAACTTTAAAAAAAAACAAAAAAACAACACCTCACACGGTCTACGAGCCAGAACTGAACAGGACATTTGCCTTTGTTGATCTGTGTTTTTTGTCATAAATGTTCAAGAATGTGTCTCATTAATGATGCTCTTTGTTTGTCTCCTCTTTGATAGACACATGAATGCAAAACAACAAAAGACTCAAAAAGGGAGACGCCGTCTCATCTCTGGAAACTCGACACAGCAAGCTGGACATCACCGCGGTCCAGAGATCCACACCGCGGCGCCCAAGTGCGAGCAATGGGCTCAGGGTCGCGCAATCACCCAATGAAGGTGGGTGACGTGTTAAAGCCGCACCAGGCCGTGGCATTTGCGCTTCCAGAGAGCTGTAAAGGTCTCGCACCAATTGACCTTAGACTTTGTTCGGTGACTATGATCTATCTCTAGTTCTTGGGAAATAGTTTGGGGGAGATTCTGGAAGATATTGCCTGCTTGAGCAGTGACCAGCGAGGTCTCAAAGGGGACCAAATCAAAACATTGTCATGGCCCATGGCATGTTCCCTTTTGGCAAAGCATTAAGAAAGCCAAAGAGCTTGTAGCTGCTTGGACTTCTGAGCTCCTGCCAAGCAACTAAAGCGTGGACACCCAAACAGCCTCTGAGGTCTTTGGATCAAAGAAAAAGAGTGCGTTTTCTCACAAGAGCTCACCACGCTTGTGATTTAACTTTTTGAGACACGGTGACATCACCACCTAATCGCCCAGCCTATGTGCCCAGGTTGCCAGCGCTTCAGCCAGATCGGCTTGCCCACAGCGCTTCGATCTGCTCTTCTTCAGGGCAGTGACCACAGGCACCAAGAGCGCGCGGGGCAAGGGCACCTGCGTTGGCGGACATCCATGCAAAATCGACAAGATCAATGTGTTATGGACAGTTTCGTCCAATGGAAAACTTGCCAAATGCTGCCTTAGGTGCCTCTGTGTCTTGGAGTCTTTGATGGTGTCCAACTCCGCGCTCTACACTGGCGCTTGACGTGCTGGAAAGACATGAGTAATTATATTGGCCCATCCACACTGCAAGGCTTTGTAACAGTTATCTGTATGGCTTTTGTCCAAAAAGGAGGTGTTCACGATGATCTGAGGGTTCAAGGAAAAGCCGGCAAGAAAAATGGCCTTAGATCACTTAGACCAATGTGTCCTCAAGGGCAGTGATTGCCTTGATGCAAGACCCCGCGGACGAGCAGGGCGCCTCAGACTCTCCTGGTCGACCTCGTTGCATTGCGATCCCTTCATGAATCAGACATGTGAAGAGGTGTAAAGAACCAGCAGAATAGCTCTAGCAATGTCGGAGGTCCGCAGAGCCAAGCAAGCTGGATCCCCTGCAGTACTTTGCTGGAATATCTCGCCATGAACCTTTGGTACTGGTTCAAGAGCCCTGCAGGACAAGTGGCAGGCCGAGCAAATCATACGGCGGGTGATCGATGCCAAAACATCCGGGAAGCTTCCCTCGGGCGGCTCAAAGAAAAGTGACCATCGTTGAGTTTCTGATTGTACAATGTCTCATTCAGGGCATTTGTAAGGCTTTGTTTCAGCACCATTTTGATTCTTCCATTCGGCTCGGCTCTCTCATTTCAGATTCCAAGAAAAACATCGCTTTTCGAAGAGTGAACCCGGATCGCACTTGATGCCGTCGCCTCCTCGGATGCGAAGAGCTCGAAAAGTCTTGGTAATCGTGGCAGCAATGCTTCTGTGGCATCTTTTGGTGCCTGGCGTGGTCTGTGGTGCTGTGTTTTACACGACCTGTGAAGATGCGGAAAACGGCGCTGAAAAGCGGAACAAGCCGAGCAAGTGTTGAAGGTCTCTGTCATTTGTCATGATCCATCTTGTTATTGCCTTCTAGTGAGTCCTGCTTGCTTCTCTGACCTGCCTCTGCACAGTGTAAGGCTCCATCTAAAACAAAGAGTAGGGCAAGGCGTTGTCGATTCGGGAGGCCTTCAGCTCAGGCAACCAATTCAACCAATCACAAAATGAATCCGAAAAAGGCATCTGGAAATTGAAACGATGATTTGTTTTGGATCAAAGCAAAGCATGTCAAGAATCACAATGGGCCACCGGTAGGCAGCCGGCTTTCTCACCGAGTAATTATTTCGTTCACCGCATGACCCTTGCCCTCCAAACCATGGCCATTACAGTGGGCAAATCTGGAAACTGCTGGGGGTCGAATGATGCCAATGGGTTTGGGAAACCGCAACAAGCCCAAAATATCCAAAATCATCCAAAATCCATCAAAATCCCGTCCAATGCGTCATTGAATCAAAACAAGATACGTGTCCGCAAGTTCTTCCATAGGACCCGACGGGGTTCGACGGTGTTGTCTTGATTAAGGAACACCATTGCTATCCGCTATTCAACCGAGCTACAAGGAACACCTCTTGCAGCGCCTTGCCCTTCTCCCAGGAGGCACAAATCCGCCAGGGCAGCCCACCGGCGAAAGCAATCCGTACGCACCCAAAGCGCCTTAATGAACATCAGAAACTCCATTCAGGCCTAAAGAGGCCTTGAGGTTCTGTGGTTCGAAGTCTGATATGGTACATTGGACATATCTATTTTGGTTTCGTTTGCTCACATCAACAAGCTGTAAACATCCTGCCTCCACGAAGCGACGGGACAAATGAAGCAAATGATCCTGCAGAGAGTAGGTCTGTGAAGTTCCACAACATACAAGGCCTCCCTGTGAATGGTCATGCTAATGGCTAACAGTGTACTTGAACCTAAAAACATGCAACACTATATATATATGCTATACTTTATACTATATTAGATACAGGCTGCTGTCCGCCCCCCCCAGGACCCCGCTTGAGTGATTGATGTCAAATATGCGGACTTGAGCTTCAGAGTTTATATAACTTTATATAGACAGAACTTACAAGTGGATGTTGATTGGAACAAAATCTAGAAACATACCATTATACATACAAATAATCACGCTTTGAAAATGTTATATAGAGATGTTGATTCAATTGAGCGGTGTCAAAAGCGGTCTACGATCTGTTATACTCATGACTCGCTTCGCCAATGCTTGCGCGGAGCTTCCGCGACCTGCGTTTCGGCTTCCGCGGGCCATGTTTGGTTGAAATCCTCTTCCGCGGCGCTTCCGCGACGTATTTCTCAAAAGTGCTCACAGGTTAGACAAATATTCTTAAAGTATAGAGGCAGTTATTACTGTCAAGAAGATAACATATGCACTTCCGCAAAGCTTCAGCGATGGTGAATTTTACCATATACTTACGCAGTGGCTTCCGCAAGCTTCAACGACTGCAGTTTTGGCTTCCGCGGGCAAGTTGGAGTTTACAAGGTTGCTTAAACTGTTCGTGAGAGGTTTTTGACGCTGCTCAATTGAAAACATATATATATATAGTTTAACGGATTTACAAAAAGGTTTTGAAACAGGTTATTACATTGGGGAATGGCCACCAAAAGCATGCATATATATATATATACATACAATGTTGATTCTGTATCTTTTCCTCTACCCTCAACACTCTTCCCTTAGCAATGTTGGCCTTATCTTAACAGGCTTTTCTATTGCTCCAGCAAGCTTTACATCTTGTGGTCGACCCTTTCTGTTCATCTATATATGCTATCTAGAAGTCCCAACTATTCAGGAAAGAACAGGAAGGTCTTTTCTCATAGCGAGCATTAGAAGGACTAGGTATGACTTAATATGTGACCAAAGTGCAAGTTTTGTGTGTCATGTGCTGCGTTTTGCTAAGCCAGGCACATCCAATTTACAAAATAATGTCCGCAATTGTTCTTACAACATGAACTTTCGTCCACCTTTGCACCCAGCAAACCTCCAAATATACAGTTACAGGGAAAAGTAGTTTATGATTCATTTGGTTCAAACAACCTGATCTGCAAGTTGCTGTCAATAATAAATACCCTTGTTGTCACATCTTACAATTGTTCAAAAACACGCCACAATCAAGCAAGTTCAAGCATGTCAAAGTCTCAACCACCAATGCTGCAAAAAAATAGCAGTACCATGCTGATCATAATGAACAACAGGCATATCACGTCTATGTGGCAGTTCATTATCTATAAACATAATCAGGACATGTAAAATCTTCAAGGTTGATTGCGCCAAAAACACCTGCAATTTGGGCAACTGTCAGTAAAACTGTCATGAACAAAGTCGACCGAGTCGACCAAAGGCTGAAGGAGGTAGTTGACGACACAAAGAAGGTACGCATACCTCCAGTGGCAGGTATTCAACTCCATGCTGCTTACAAGTTTTTGAGCAAGATGTTTTGCACCACAGGAGGTGCCAAGATGTACTACTACCTTATTGGAACCCAGAACCAAGATTCCATAGAGTTTTTGGCATCTTGGTTTTTTGTTTGCAGGAAAATACTATATAATACGTTTTAATACCTTGTTCCTCCAGTTGTGTATGGAACTTCTCTTCCTAGACAAGCAACCAAGATTCCTGCCAAAAATACAGTGAAACCAATTTTTGGTTCCAGGAAGGTACTAGTACATCTTAGTATATACAGTATGTGGTTTTGCCTCTTTTGGGTCATTTTTGGGTGATGTCCCCAGGAATTTGCTCTGGAAAGTACACTCTCCTCAACGTGCAAGTAAAACAAGTTAAATATAGTTAAATGAACTTGGGGTCCCGCGAGGACCATAAACATATTATATTGATATCCTAATCATCCTGTGGGTCTGAAGCCCCGTGTTTTTTGTGCATTTTGATTTCCCACGGTCAAAATCAGCACGTTTTGTACATTGTCTTATCATTGTAGCATCTCATGTCGGTGTGACAGTGAAGATTAGACTCGTTGGTTGAGTACTAAATGCGAAATGCGTGAAACGTTACAGTAAAACTCAAGTTTTGGCTAGAGAGGCGTTTGCCTGGCTTTGACAGCAAGTCCTTTTGACCTTTCTTGCAGCGAAGCTAGGCCACGACATCTGTGTTTCTACATTTCTTACAAAGCAATCTGTTTGGAAGAAAGTGCCTGGCCAGGCTCCCGCAGGCACCTATCTTGCACGCGTGCACTTTCAATCAACCAAAGGTCCACGGCGCACATGCCTCACATGTCTGGTAGCATGCGTGAGTATGCATGTGGTATTATCTTCGAAGCACATCCAACTGAACATCATTCCCCCACGCAACCCCACCCCCGTCACCCCGATCTGGTGCCGCTCTAATGTGCGTGTGGCATCATCTTGAAAGAAAGAACCTGAAGTGATAAGTTGTGGTTAGGAATTGCCTCAAGGCAACGAAAACAGCACTCCACAGCCTCCTCCACCTGCGCTGTGTGTGTGAGCCCGGACGGAGGTATCATTGAAGGGGTAAAGTGCTGGGAGGGAAATGCGCAGGCGGTGAAGGTTGGAAAGGTTGAACATGTTAGGAGCAGCACGGTATGTGCAAGCTAACGGCCCAATACACTATATATCTATACAGGCAGCGTGGTAGTGAGACATTTGTGGCGGCGAACACACGTTTTTCAAACTGGTGAGCCTGTTTGAGAGCAGATTCAATTAGGGGCCCTCCGGGATGCTTTAAGGATATAGGCGCTTCCATGTTTTGGCTCACTTGCGGGCGCAGGAGTGAATTAGAAGCAGTATGGCTTCAAAAATTGCGGCGCTACAGGCAGTCAGCAGAGTTGTTCGACTGGTACCAGCAGCGGCGCAAAAAACACAAATTAGCAGCCTTCTTCTGAGCGCTTGGAGCCCAACTATGCCAGGGTTTTGTGGCCGGGGCATCGTGGGATCTATGTACAACCGTTGTCCAAGGGTCACGAAATGAAGACGGCAGTGACAGACCGAATGGTTCCCAAGTCAACTTGAGTCCCAAGAAAATGTCAACGTGGGAATCTTCAATATTCATGGCGTTCGTACGCTAACGGGCTTCAAGGATGTTCCATGCCCATTTTCGTACGTTGTCCCTTTGAGACTGGAGGTCGGGACCAAGTGCAAAAAAATCGACTGTCGTCACGGAAGGACGCAACAAAGACGGGCAACTCCTCACCTTGAAGTGAAGCACGCTTAGAGGTTCCTCCATCCAGTGGGGCTGGAATAGTGGGGCCGGGGGTCAACACTTCACGGGAGTATTTGAACAGCCGCAAGATGGCAGAAGACACGGCATCACCCATGGCTGCTCCTTGTTCCTCACGACCGATGAATCCAACTAAAGGACATAGTTGGTGGTAAGGAAACTTTCTATCATACGTCTCACATCGTCGAAGGATAATGTGCAATACCCATGGAGGTCCTGTAGGGAGGTCAGTCATATTTGCCAAGACGAACCGGGCCAGATGCAGTCCGAAACGGAATGCTTCCCATAGGAATTCCAGTAGGCGGTTAAATTCCTCCGGATGCCAGGGGCAGACTCACAGGGTAAATGGTGGAAACAATCCTGCATGTCGGCGGATACAGTGAGACAAAGACAATCAAAGTTGTTGGCAAAGAGCGCACGAAGATGCTTGTTGCAATTGTTGCTCAAGGTCACCACTTCTTGAACAGATTTGCAGTCCGACCACCAAGGTCTCGGCATAGAGTTGAGAGCAGCTTCCATGGCTCTGCATGCCAGACTAAGGATGCGGTTCGTTGGAGTGCGGCATTTGTCAATTACGAGTTGCCACTTCACTCCCGGGCCTTTCACCTTGGGCAGGAGGCGTGGCATGCCCAGTGCCAATTCCTTGGCATACTTGCAACTCATTCAAACCGGTCTCAGGTGGAGAGGCAAAGATGTGGCCGAAGCCAACTGTTGAACGATCTGCTTGACAGCGGAGCTGCCCTCCTGCATAGTTCAAATAAATTTGGTGCCTGTTGCCGCTTTGATATCATAATCATCCTACGGGTCTAAAGCCCCGTGTTTTTTGTGCACTTTGACTTCCCATGGTCAAAATCAGCACCCATGTTCATCTGTCGGTGTGACAGAGTACTAAATGCGAAATGCGTGAAACGTTACAGAAAAACTCTGGTTTTGGCTAGAGAGGTGTTTGCCTGGCTTTGACAGCAAAATCCTTTTGACCTTTCTTGCAGCGAAGCTAGGCCACGACATCTTTGTTTCTGCCTTTCTTACAAAGAAAGCAATCTGTTTGGAAGAAACTGCTTGGCCAGGCTCCCGCAGGCACCTATCTTGCACGCGTGCACTTTCAATCAACCCAAAGGTCCACAGCGCACATGCCTCACATGCCTCGTAGCATGCGTGAGTATGCATGTGGTATTATCTTCGAAGCACATCCAACTGAACATCATTCCCCCACGCAACCCCACCCCCGTCATCCAAATCTGGTGCCGCTCTAATGTGCGTGTGGCATCATCTTTGCATATCTTTGCATGCGTCTATGCAATTGAACACAATAGCATGCGTGTGCATGTGGCAGCGCGTGTATGCATGTTGCATTATCTTCAATTCACATGCGCCTGCCTGAAACTCCTGAAGTGTTCTGGAGCAAAAACATATGCGGCACATGAAGCTCTAAACCGTGCGGGCGAAGCAAACGGTTTTAGATTCGTAGATATCCGTAAGCATAATCACAACATGAAAAACAAACATCTTTGCCTTTACAAAAAACAACAATAATGAAAAGAGTTGGGAGGCATTGGGAAACCCCTCAGAAGTACCCAGCTTGCGCAGCATCCCTCAAGCCGATGTCGAGTATCGCGCTTGACTTTTCTACTGGGCATATGACGCTGGATGATAGGGTCATATGTTATAAGCTGATATAAGCTGCATTGCTTGACGTCCACGCATTTCCACAGAACAACGTCCTTGAGGTAGCTGGTCAAAAAGTCTGCCACTGCGATCAATCCATGCCTTGCGACAGTTCCAAGCAAAGCTTCACGCCACGCATGCGACGTGTCACTGCCTGTCGCTCTCACATAGCGGGTAGAGCAAATTTCCGAGAATTGTGAGTGTGAATTCACCAAAAAAACAAACCATTGATAACACTTGCAAAAAAAGGAAACAACATAACTTTAAATCTTTCAGAGCCTCCTCACCCACGGTACGTTGCACTTTGCGTTCTGTTTCCGTGATGGCACATTTTCTTGCTTCTTACTTGAGTCTGGCTCTGAGTCCTTTTCTATAGTTCATCTTTTGTTGTGAGTTTCGGTTTGCTACTGTATGTGTTGTTTTTGCGCGTCTATGTTTTCCAGCTTTAGTGGTTTTCGTTTTACCCGCTGAGGCCACTTTACGGCCATCATTATTATTCTACTTCCCGACTGCAAACATCACAAGTGATTTCTGAATGCAAAGCAGCTGCTCCGTGGTGAAATGGCGCTCAATGTCTTCAGCATCAGCCTGTAGATCGATCCAAGGCCCAAAACAAGGCTCCAAGACCAAGAGTTTGCTTGTTGAATTGGACGACTGCTCTTGAAGAAGGATCAATGGTATTTGTGGGGTTGAAAGCTGACGGTCTTGGGAGCGGCATCATCGTGTGCTGGCCTTTCACAACTCTTGCTCGAAACGGAGTCACGGTGTCAGAGTGCCTCTTCGCCACGTTTCACAGCAATCCCAAGACCTGCAGAATCCGTGGACTAAGGTTGATCGCCCTCATCTACTTGAATCAAAACACATTCTGATGCAACAGAATGCACCTTGACAATGCGAAGGCGTGCAAAGGCTATTTGCTGGGCATATGGATGCATATGGTTTGATATACAATGATATACTCTATATATATATATACAGCAGTTAATATACAATACTGTATATATGATGTTTTCTTTAGCTTAGCCGGTGCTGCATTGTGCATGCATGGTGGGTGGTTTGTCAGGACTACTTCGTTGAACTGCTAGTAAGCTGGGTAGAGGACCTGACCTGAGAAAGACTACAATTGTGTCGTCAGTTTGTCAAAATCCTTTCAAAGTGAATACAGTGACCTGGATCGGGTAAGAGGTGCTGCTCAACGAAGAGTGCTGCTTCAGCTCTTAGAAGACCATGGCTGTCCTCCGGGCACTTCAACTTTTTGCCCCAGGCACTGGTCTTTGGAGCCACCTGGTGAAGTATACACTCTCCCATAAAAGGCAAGCTTCGCAACCGCCCAAATGTGTTCAGTATCCACCAAACTGTTTGAAAAAAAAACATGCAAAATAGCACAAAGTTTAAAGCAAAACACATCTGCCTCCAGTAAAGAGACGCCGTTGAACCACGATTGAAGTATGTTGCTCGCTCATTGATAGAAACTAGGTTTTCCAAACTGCAACAAAAAATCACAAACAAATGAATCACGACCGATCACCGCTAAAAAGGACATGACCCGTAGAACTGATGTCACCACATAAGAAAAGAATGCATCCGACGGTTTCCAAAGGACACCCACTTTTTTGACGTACTTCTATGATGTTTGGCGTTTTTGTTTAAACGGTTCCTGGTTCCACTCCTTCTCATGTTGCGCTCGTTTTACAATAGTTTACGTTTTTGAAACGTTGGTGTTTGCTTTTTGTATTGTCACCACACGACAAAAGAATGCATCCGACGGTTGCAAGACGTTGGCTTCTACATCCTTCCACACGGTGCTGACTCCTTGACAGCAAACAAATGAAGAGGTTCGAGTTTGATCCAGATACGCGCAGGGCTGATGTACTGCTGATTGAACACCTCCTGAAATAAGACATTGTAGCGACCACTTGTTTGAACTCTGATTTTTTTTATTGTGGATTGGACATTGGATCCCAATACCTGATTGTCTATAGTTGTAGCTGATTGGTAGAATCTTTTGTGGATTCACCTCCGTCTGTCCAGTTAAAGGGCACAACCCGGAACTCATCTGCTTTAAACGAGTCAGCTACTATCTACTTAAGCTTCTAGGTAGGACGCAGGATAGCTCACGCCCCAGGCGGGGGGAGCTTCCTTGAAGCGCTAATGATTTGGTTCCTAGATTTTTAGGGAAACTAATAACGATGGCCTCCAACTTTTAACCTACCAGCGATGGTTCCCAGCTTCTTCTCTCCGTCAGACGTGTTCGTTGTCTCGGTCCGGCGCTGTCAGGGAGAGCATCGATACCTGCTCGAAGTTGGAATCCGAGAGCTGCGAGGCCAGGGCTGCACGCCTGGCGGAAGGGGATGACATGGAATGACTATGATCATGCATGTTCGTTGGTGTTCTTATGTTTTCTTCCATAGAAAATGCTTCGTAGGAGCCGGGGATAGTAGCCACAAGTTGATCAATACACAGTAGGTGCACAGAAGTCGATGTGATGATAGGTTATTATTATAGATTTCCCCGGCATAAGACAATTCTCCTAGGTCCTAGACGCAAAGGCTGAATAGGGATCCAGCCTTCTAGAGCGAGCAAATCATAGGTCCTCTACTACAAGCAATAGAACCTATAGTCAAGTCCGTCCTCTTACCTTCCCCCTTGTCCCCACTTGTACGGCTACAAGTCAGCGTGCGTGACGGGTGTATAACATGACTTTCGCATTGGTCCGAAAGAGAGGCCATGACTGTCGACATGGGCACGTCATGTATTTTCATGTTGGTCATATTCTGCCTACTCCACGATGTTTGTAATAGCATAATCCGGAGCTCTATATATACATGATATAGCCTAGCCGTGATATAGCCGCGATAGCCAGTCTATGTTTGAAAAAGCAACTTGGCTAGCAACACATTTTGTCAACGGACGGCCCCGAGATCCCTGCAGCCTCAGTTGCCTCACTGCCAATGCTGCCACTCGCGGCTCCGTATCACGGCTTCGCTCGGCCAACCATCGAGCTGCCTGTGCCCACCGGGTAGAGATACTAGTAACCTCCTAGTAACGATGCCCTTTGTTACTAGTAGCGTCCTTGTTACTAGTAGTAAGGCCAGGAGCTACTAGTAGATGTTTGGCAGTTGCCAAGCTTTGAAGCACGGATACTTAATCTTTCACCTGCCGATGCTTAAGCAACAATCACTTTCGATTCTGCCGTCGCAAGTGCTGATGATGTGTGGAATCAACCTGATAACAACTACCAAGAAGCAGGTTCAATGCTTCAACGATGATTTCTAAAAGCATCGGGCTTCATGAAACTCCTAGCCCTTGTTCCCCATTGCCTCTGGTGCCTCTGCAGCATGATCATCTGACCCCTGAAGGAAGACAAGGCACGATGGGCCAGTTGGATGCATAATTTAACTGTGCAAATTGAGTTCGTTCTGCGGCTCAGCGCGACCGTTTTGTGTTCAAAGCTGAACATCAAAATGTGGTTCTAAAAATGAACTCACTTTCAACATAGAGACGTCGCACTGAGACGTCCATCTGACAACCACTTCTAGTTAGTCAGTTAGTCCTAGACTAATGACTAATGAAGGAAGAAATGACTTAAGTCTCCACGTGGGTCCTGAGGTGCCTCGAACCAAGCGCCTACCAACTCCACAGCTTGCACTCGCACTTCCGTGGCGGGGTCCTTCCGGAGAAAACGACGCAAGGCCCTTCCATTCGCTTTGTTGAACTGGAAATAGGATCACAGTGGTAGGCAAGCAGCCAAACTTGAAACGTCTATGATAAGGCTACAAGATGCTACAAGCCCTACGCCACACATTCTGAAGTTCAATGAGCAAACATCATGGCAACCGCAACAGCTTCCAAAAGCCATGCAGCATAAGCATGTTCACAATCAAAAGAAACTGAGAAATGAACAATGATCGATGTGGTGTGCTTCAAACTCCCTGGTCCAAGCTACCCGTTGCAGGAAATGGACATGGGAGCAACACTTCTCATCTCGAGGCATGGAAAAAACGTATATACCCGTTCTGGTGTACACATGGTCACGTTGATGCAATACGAGGACAAACAATTCAACATGCCTAAGAGCTCTCTCACAAAGTAGTCCCAGAAAAAGAAGTCCGGCTGCTAAAGGTATGCATCGAAACACTCAAAGTACATCGAGCAAAGATGTTGAAGCGCTTGATTGTCACAGCTGTGCCGATGGATGTCAAAAACGAACGTTATGAGTGATGAGCACCTGCAGTACCTGGGATCTAGAAGCACAGAAAATAAGGCAGTTCATGTTGATTTGTCACCGCTGCCTGGTGCACTAACAGGGCCATGCGGGCAGTTCGACAAATCCCATTTAGATCCATTTAGAACACCTGCCTTGTTAATTTATTAAAGTTTGAAGCCATTTCCCATATTGGACTCATTATATATATATATATATACACCTCCACACACCTCCAACACACCCAGGAGTCCGGGCACAAAGGCTACGCAAGACACGCTCCGGCCACCACAGGAGGCCCAAGTTCATCATGCGTCCCAAAGCATTCAAGGACAACCTCCCGAAGTGTATGACAGTGCATTGCACAACGACAATATAAGTCTGTTGGATTCAAGGCTGAAGGACAACTTGGGCAGCGTTCTATGACAATCCTCACTTCCCCAGCTGCCACTTTCTCTCACAAAAATCAGAGTGCTTGTCTATCCACCCAAATTGCCAGTGATTTGGTGATTTGTCTGACGCAGTGGGCAGCGTGTCACCCTACTGCTGTCAGCACTTGCAACCTCACCTTCGCACGGCCGGGGCGGTATCATGTAGCCGCGGCAAGAGCACAGTTTCTTGCATCTTCTTTGCCTTGCCAAGGAGTTCAAACAAAGGTCAAACCAAACAAATGCCCCAAACAAACGCAGAAAGACAAGGATCTGAGTAACAACTATAACATAACTGTAACTAACGACACAAAACAATTGGTTGCCCTTGCTCAGCAACCTGACACTCCAATACATACGCAAACACTGAAAAAAATCCAACGCTCACACACTCAATTTGTCCTTCGCGTGAATTGTTACCACTATCTGAGACCAATCTCTTGACAAACATTTGTCTTTTTATTGCAGTGAATCCACCCATTATGTCGCCCCACCTGAGCATCCAGTTGCACCGCCTTGGTCTTCACTTCGTTCACAGCACAGCAAAGCCGCGCGAGCCGTGCCGCCGCTGGAGCGGCCTTCGGCTCACCTCAAGAAGCTGGTGTTGAAGCCACTGAATACACAGTTACACAGTTATCAAGATACACAGCTAACAATGATCCAAACATCTTGAAACTAAGAATACATATTTATTCGATGAATCTCGCTCAACATATGTCGACTGCTGCTACCCTTTT